GAGAGCTATGATACTGAAAGTGGTTTTGAAGATTCTGAAAATAATGATGTTGCCAATGCTGTGGTGCGCTTCATTACCAGATTCATAGACAAGGTTTGTACTGAAAGTGGAGTTACACAGGATCACATCCGAAGTCTTCATTGTATGATACCAGGTATGAGGAACCATGTTCTTGTCTTGAACTCCTCTCAGGGAGATAATTTATTCTGTCTCAGAAAAGATACCTTAGTTGTATACATGTGTGTTCTTTTAAGGTGAAAATGAAGAGTTTGTTAATCTAATTTTAGTCACTATAGTGGGTTTTCTGGAGGCAAGTTTTAGAATGGATAAGCTGTTTTGTTAGTTTGTTTTATTCTTGCTGTATTATGCTCATTTCGGGTGGCATTTATTCCCTAGGTATTGTAGCCATGCACATTGAGACTCTGGAGGCTGTCCATCGAGAAAGTAGGAGGTTGCCACCAATACAGAAGGCAAGTATTTCAGGCTGCTTATTCTGCTTTATAGCTGTGAGAAATACAGTCAGTTTGACAGCTTCAGCTTTCCTTTTTTCTAACGTATTTGATAACCTTTGAAAAGTTCGAAGTATGCCTAGAAAACTAATAATTTCAACAGATAAGCAGCTTTTCTATAATTGTGTGAAATACATACCAGAGAAAATACTGTAGCTCAGCCAAAGCTCTAAGTAAAAACAAGCTGCTATTCTATGTACACTGGTGATTTAACATCCATTATCTGCTGTGACCCCAGCTTTAAATCAAGGAGCAATTTAACCAATAAAGCTTTTTCTTTAGACGGAAGAGTAATTAACTAATCAAAACCTTTTCTCCCTTATCCTTAATCCCTATAGCGTAAGAGTAAATTGTTCACTTCTGATCATGAATAATGATAAAAGATCTATAATATTCTAAGAGTGGGGAAGCAGTGATTGACCAACCAATATAATTTATCCCTTCTTACAGGGTTCTTGAATCAAATAAAAAAGGGAGATGAGTACCCTGTCCCAGAGGATTATTAATTTTCTGTAGGTGGAGCATCTCTTCCAATTTAATAGGCAAAATCTGGTTATAGAAAAAAAATTGCTCTTGAATGGAAATCTTCCTAGGCTACACTGAATTTGCAGAAAATATTCAGTCCTGCTCCTTCAAACTAACTTTGCCAGATTTGTTATAAAATGCTGTTGCAATAATCATAGGCAAAATGTATTATTTGAAGTTATATTGTATTTGTTATGTTGCAAGTTTTTTGTTGTTGGTTTTTTTAATAAAAAAAAATACCTTTGGGTTCAGCCCAAGATTCTACGACCAGATTTGCTGCCAGGGGAAGAGTTTGTGTGTGAAGGTCTCCGTGTGCTCTTGGATCCTGATGGCAGAGAAGAGGCAACTGGAGGATTGCTTGGAGGACCTCATATTCTTCCTGCAGAAGGAGCTTTGTTCCTTACTACATACAGAGTTATATTTAAAGGCACCCCTCATGATCAACTAGGTATGATGTTTGTTATGAGTGTCAAAATAATATGTTTTCCAGTAGCCATGGAAGGTTAACTTATTTATTAATTGTTGTTATTTATTGTTTTATTATTTTAATGTATATTAGTTTTAATGTTTCCAAGCCACACAGAGTTGTCTCTGACGAGATGGGTGGCACATAATTTTAATCAATCAATCAAATAAATAAACAAACACTCAAATTAACTAACTTCCAATCCTACATTCCATTTATACTGCTTCTAAAATAAAATTCATACAAAAGTAAGATTTGTATCAAGATTTTTAACTGACTGTTTTACTCAAGATAACTTTCTGCAACCCTTACAGTTAATTAAATGCAGAATTGGTATAGGTGTTCTTGTAATAAGGTATATTATGTTCTGACTGTAAAGTGGACATGCTATTTATGATATTCTGTGATAGATTTGCAAGACCTGAAAGTAAAATTGTCCCTATCTAGAATCGTTTGACTCTGTGGTTAGTGGAATTCCATTATTACTAAGTACTAGTCTAATTACACTGGGGCTTGATATTTACTATGGCCATAAACCAGCATAGTTTTCTGTATATGCATTTTTTAACTATTAAAATAAGTCTGTCATTGACGTCAAGTGAGTTTCAAAACATTGGTGCTCACTTTTAAACCTTGTATATCTTAGAATATAAGATACATTTCAAGAGCTCTCTTCCATCTGCTCTGTCCAAATGAAGATAGGCTGATGAGTATTTTAAAAAAGAGACTTGCTTAGTGCTAATAAGAAGGCCTATGTGTAAATGTCACATCATTATATTTTCAATCCCATGGGGATATTTTACCCTTTTAGATTGTATCTTTATTGGGTCTGTATTAAGTTAGTATGTTCATTTTTGCGTGTATTGAATGTATTGTTTTCTTCTTTCCTGTGCTGTTGATTATTTATTTTATTTTTCTCTCTTTCCCCTTTTCTTGTTCTTTTTCTCTCTCTCCCACATATACACACAAACAAAAATCATTTTTGATACTTCACTTTCATAATAAGAAGCACCATCTCCTAGCGTATGCTTATTTAAGTGAATATATGATTCTAGAACTAATAGTTGTTAGCCAGCATCCATTTCTTTAATCTCATAACAGTTAAATACACATCAAGATAATAGAAAATGGCTTGGTAATTTCCTTCCTTCTCAGACTTATATATTGTATTTCCTTATGATGATTCAGATCATTTACAGATGGCTTTTTAAAAAATCTTGTCTGGTTACATTATTTAAAATAAAATTAAAGCTTAATATTTATGTCTTCAAAAGATAAGGGATTTATTTTTTATTACAAAACAAGGAAATTGATGTTAAATATTTAGGCAGAGTGCTATCCACCAGGATTCCTTGCACTCCCTAGTGGTATTTTTTTTTATAAAAGGGAATTAATAATAGTATACTATTTCAAAATGCCATGAGAACAAGCAATGTGAACAAACACAAAAACATTTATCTTAGAAATGAGAAAAATAACAGCATTCCTTGATTAGCATTATTGTTATTTAAATGTAGCTGTACTTTTTTGAGGATAAACATTCTATTGTGCAGTTTCTGTGGGTTTTATAAAAATAAACTCCAATTACTTCTAGACACCGTGGAAACAGTGGTAGAAGTGATGCATCAATATTTTTCACCAGTGCTTAGAATGAGAAACTGTGTAATAATATTTCTACATTCAGAATAATAGGGATAGTTTTTACTGGCATGGTTGTGTCTGATGTTCACTATTTAGCAAATATGTGCCAGGAAAAGACAGTTTCTGAGATATAACAAATAACAAGGGTGACATCACTGGCCTTGCAGAATTGTTTAAAATAATGCAGGAAATATAAAATATATGATCTTTATGAGGAATGCTGCTGCAATATATTTTTTGCCTGAAGTAGAACTAAAAATTGCATCTACAGTTCACTTAGCAAAGCCAGAAGCCCTATGTCCAGACAGATTATTTTGACCCATGAGACAGGAAATACCATAAGCAACTATTCTTGTTGTCTCTTCTTGTCTTGTCTGCTAGATGAAAGTATAGTTCAGCTGACTAAAAATAGCTACTTCTGGGCAGCAGGAAATATCAAAACAGTACAGGTACAAAACTCAGTAAAGTTATAGAAATAGTAAGGATCAGTATTCCTGATTCTACCCTGTCTGGTTTGTCTGTTGATAAATACATTTCTTTCAAAGAGTAAAGAAACTCTTTTAATAAATATTAAGAAAACAGTACAACCATTAGAAGTATGGGGGAGGGTAAAAAAAATAGATCAATACACTAGGTGTAATTTATCTTTCCTTGAGATTTTAATTCCTTTAGCTTCGCCATAGGCCTTTTATGTGGTCTGATTTCTTCATGTATGAATATATCTTTCCAGTTACCTTACTTGATCCATGATGCAATGTTTCTCTCCTGATATTCTTAGTTGGAGAACAAACAGTTATTCGGAGCTTCCCTATTGCTTCAGTAACAAAGGAGAAGAAAATTACCATCCAAAACCAACTTCAACAAAGTATGCAAGAAGGGCTGCAGATCACCTCAGCTACCTTTCAGGTAAATAGAATATCAAAACCTCATAGGTCAGAATTATTCTTGTTTTGAAAGTCCTGTTGATTTCAAAGGCCTTTCTTTTGTAACTACTCTGGATATCTTGAATAAGAAAGAAGAATATAAACTAATTGAGTTATGTGCCAAAGTAGTTTTTTAAAAATTTGTGAAAGTGGACACCTGACTGCACAAAACACTTCTGCCTGCTCTTTGTTGCCTTTTTGCTCCAGCTTATCATCCTGAGCAGAACTGACAACATTCTCCTGAGATACTTATTAGAGAAATATATTAAGAGACCAAAGAAGGGAAGTATAAAACTTATTTTAAAAGAAAAATAAGCAATAAAAGAATCTCTTTTCCTTTGTTATGTTACAGTACAGTTAGTTTATAGCACAAAAGATAACGTTCTACTGGACAAATTGTGAATCATTGTCAATGAATTCACTGACAAATCAGTAAATCCCTGGGGAACAGAAGCTGAGACAACTTCAACATTATACAATATTAAAGACACATAATCCAGCAAATTTGAATGCTTACTTATTATTTATGTTCAGTTGTCTACAGATTCATAATAAGAAAATAGTTCGCTTAGATTCACACTGAAACATACAATTTGATCCAAGGTGCTTAAACCTTCATATGCAATTGTATCACTCCACACATAGGTTTTTAAAAGTGGGTGAGAAATAATATAGTCCTATTATAATACATAATCCTGAAACAATATATTGCTAAACCTAAAATATATTACTGTATAGCTTAAATGCTTCTTTTAACTATAAGTTTAAATGTTATTAATTATAAAAATGTTAAAAATGATATATTTAAAACATATTCTTGTTAATTTACATGCAGTGTATTTTTAAAATGATATATTAAGATTTAAAACCTTACAATGATGTTTAACTTAGCAATACTATTTTCTATTGCCCTAATGCCAAATATCCTAAAATCTCTTTATCTTTTATATTTCAGTATTTATACTTTACTTTCTCTCATTACATCTTTTTATTTGCAGCTGATCAAGGTAGCTTTTGATGAGGAAGTGAGCCCTGAAGTTGTGGAGATATTTAAGAAGCAGCTGATGAAGTTTCGCTATCCTCAGTCCATCTTCAGTACTTTTGCTTTTGCAGCTGGCCAAACAGCACCTCAGATCATCTTGCCAAAGCAAAAGGAGAAAAACACTTCCTTTCGGTAATGATTTCCCCTTTTATTTATGTGTCACATTTATTAGAAATATTCTTTTAATATTTTAGTGTAGAAATATAGAGTGGCATGATGGCCTAGTGGTGAAGATGCTCGCCTCCTACTCGGAAGTTTGAGAGTTCAATCCTAGGTAGCGGCAGATGTTTCTGTCTCAGGGCGCAAAGAAAAGATGTCTGCCACAAACTCAGCATAGGTGTCAGGAAGAGTATCCGGCCAATAAATGCTGAGCTCTATCCAGTCACCCCGATTCTACCCAACTAGGAACTACAGGATTGTAAAAAGGGGGGAAAATGTTCTTAATTTTAGTTGATTTCGATTTTATACCAGGCTTTAACAAAGGAGGTAGTGCCATATGCCTGAAATAAAAATGAAATTATGGTGAAAATGAACAAGTAAAATAATAGTGCATTTACTGTGATCAACCCACACTTCTGTATTTCTGATTATTGAAAGAGGAAATGCATTCTGAATGTCTATTTAAGGTACACACATGAAAATGGTTTGTGAAAGCTAAACTCGTGGGCATAATAGCAGGCATGGGGGCTCCACAGTATACCACTCATTGAAATAAAGCTCAGCACAAACATATTTTGGAGGAAAGAGGAGAATATACAGTTGCTAGCATTCTCTTTCAGCAAAAGTACAAATATTTTTACCTTTTTTCTGAATTTAGCACTCTTTCAAAAACAATTGTAAAAGGAGCAAAACGTGCAGGGAAAATGACAATTGGCCGGCAGCACTTACTAAAAAAAAAGACAGGAACAATCATAGAGGAAAGGGCAAATCGTCCTGGATGGAATGAAGAAGATGATGTCTCAGGTAATAATAGATTGGCGCCTTTTTTTTTTGCCACTGTCTGGTTACACAAGTCACTATATGCTAAGCTACTAAAATTATTGCACCTTTAGTTTCAGATGACAGTGAAATGCACACGAGTGGTACTTTGAAAGCATCAGAAAAATCAACAATGGAGCAGCTAGTGGAAAGAGCTTGTTTTAGAGACTATCAGCGGTTGGGGTTAGGAACCATCAGTAATAGTTCTTCACGTTCAAAAACAGAATACTTTCGAATAACAGCTTTAAACAGGATGTATTCCCTTTGCAGAAGGTAAGCCAGCTTACTTATTAACATAGATCTAAGTTACATGATCCACTTGTCACAATTTTTAGTCTATATTGCAAATGGCTGAAAAAAAAATATTCTTTATCTCTGTGGAGGGAAGACTTCTAGTTCAGTATCAAAGCAGATACTTTATCTCAAATAAAGTTCCTGATATCTGCAGATTGGGTTAGGAAAGACAGTGCTTCAATTCACTGAATGTGATATGGTATTAATCTAATTGGACCAGTAATTGGACCCTTATATTTCTAAACAAGAGGAGATGTAGTTTGTTGATAACTAAATTATCATCTGTGTGCAGTCATTCATGAGATACCAACATTTAAAAATCATTTGATCTACAGTTTTTCTCATTGCAATACTGATCTGATTAATGTTTATCAGCAAATAAAACACTTTAGCTTTTAAAAAAAATTGATAGGTATGTGCACATGTAGAAACTGAAGTATATATAGAATATTAAGAGTTAAGGGTATAGTCAGAAGTTAGGATTTCTAGCATTTAGCAACCATAAAGACTGCTCAATAAAACTGTCAGAATCTTTTTATTTTTTTGTGGACATTTGT